TTTCACACTGTGTGTGTGTGTGTGTGTGTGTGTGTGTGTGTGTGTGTGTGTGTGTGTTTTCTGTCCCCATAAGCATGAGCTCACATTTGGACTGTGTTTTTTGGGTTGCTCAGAAGGGAGTGGCTGTTCATATTCTACTCCATGTGTTTGTGTGTGTTTGGCTCGTCAGATCTTTAAAGCTATAACATGCATTATATTATAATTAGTATCCGAAATAATAACTACACTCCTGTTTTCAAAGCTGAACAATATATAGTATAATGTATAGTATAGTAATTTAAAAATATATTAAAATATATTAATTATTTTAAACATATTTAAAATAATCGAAATATATTAATAATTAAAATATATTAAATAAGACTAAATGATTAAAATGTAAAATATATAATATAATGGATAAACCAGTAGACATCATGTAAATATATAAATTAACATTTCTAAATATTATTATGATTGTAAATTACTTTATGATAGTCAAAGATATCAAATTGTTACTCTTTTAGTATTATTATTATTATTATTAGTGACTGATGCAAAACACAGCATATCTGTGTGTCTTCTACTACATGTTATTAATTTTACTTGAACTGCACATGTATATTTATAAGTTAGCAGTACAGCTTGACTTTAGTCTGCATGACGTCTGTTGTGAAGAAAGGGAAAGCGTCAGCTAAATGTTCTCATATGGGACATAGGTAATCCTGTCTGATTCTCTGTGGGGGATTATGCTTTCCTCATGGCTGGGAGTTCTGTCAGTATGGAATAGTCTGTTCCATATGGCGGGAATTTCTGTCCAGCTGTAAAGAATCAGGGAGGGAAAACACCCTGTGTTCCCTCGAGGAGGGTGTATCTCTCTCCTCCACCCAATCACAAACTCTTTCGTCTCTGCCTCGCTCTTCAGGGATTCTAGAGTTGTAAATCTAGAATTAGAGCCTTTTGTATTTCCATTGTAGCTTTGAGAACAGCATTAATTACACACATAATTACAAACACACTCACACTCATACACAAACTCTCACAGATGCAGCAAAGACAATTAACACAAAAAAGTCAAATCTTCCAAAAAAAAAAACATTTGCATACATGTGTAAACACACACACATTTAGACATAGACATTTGTTTTTATATCATGATGTGCACCTCCCACATGATTCAGTAGTTTTTAAATGAAGATGATTGCAATTATCACAGACTAACCCTGACACAACTATTTGGGTGTTTTTTATTTCAATGTATTTACTATTTTAATATATTTTAGAATGTTATTTATTTCTGTGATGGCAAAACTAAATTCTCAGCATCATTACTCCAGTCTTCAGTGTCACAAGATCCTTCAGAAATCATTTTAATATGCTGATTTGAGGCTGATATTCCGCATCACTGAATGATTACACTTTTTATGTAGTACTATCATGGTAAATGTCCAAAAAGCCATGACATGTTGTCATGGTATTATGTTTTGGTCCTTTTTTGGTACATTTCTACTGTTTATGAGCACAGCTCCAGTGTTTAATATGGGAAGAAGGCGAGTTTTGTTTTACCTTCCAGCTGAATGTGTGTTTTGACCCTCAGAACATGGGGAGCTCAGACATAACTACATTCAGGGAGCGATGCTGTCTAGGGTGGGACGCTGGGTCAGAACAGAACCGGTGCAGACGCCCAGCAGCAGAGTCTGAAGGTTTGATGTATTCAGGAAGCAGGTCAGAGATGGAGGGACCTCCATAGGAGAACAGCTGTTCAGACCTGCCTTTTCCTCTCTTACTCATCCTGTTTCTCTTAGTCTTGAGCTCAGTTTCTGTTTCAGTGGGTGTGTTTGATGAAGATTAGAACATGTCTCTGTGTGTCTGTAAATGTGTGTGTGAGGTGTTGAATTGATTTTCTGTCACTGAAGGGTGAGTCTGACTCAGGTGGTGATGTGTATATTTGTTCAGTGAGCTGGTTTCTCTCAGCCTGCCCTGTTTTTCCTTTCTCCTGGGACGGTTTTGTACAGTTCTAAAAAACACTTTTTCTGCATGAAATTTTTAGCATGAATGTGTTATGATCTTCATCCATATCATAAAACTTCAATAATGAATTCACAATGCATTTAACATGCACTGTGACGTATTTACGGGTTGAACAGAATGAGGGAAATAATATAGGGTGGGACTTTATATCCACCAGGATTTGCCTGGATCATGAAAAGACTTTTGTGGAGGTTGAGCAATAAGTTTTTAAGTTGTGAGGAATAACATTAGCATTTAATAGTGTGCTGAATAAAAGAATATATTTTTTCTTACTTAAAAATATTTGAAGACTGGAGTAATGATGCTGAAATTTCAGCTTTGCATCACAGGAATAATTTTAAAATGTTTTTAAATGTTTTCTTTTTCTATTCTGAAAAAAAATTAAATTTTCACAAAACTGTTTTCAGCATAGATGCAAACACATATCTAACACATCCTTTCTTCCGAGATAACAGTAGAGGCTTCTTTAGAAATCTAAAACCTGTATCTCTCTCTCTGTAGTTGTCGGGTGGCTGTGAGCAGACTGTGGTTCTGCAGGACTTTGTTTCGGGATCGGTGGGTGAGTTGAGCGTTCAGTCTGGTCAAACCGTCGAGTTGCTGGAGAGGTCTGGAGAGCGGCCCGGCTGGTGTCTGGTACGGACCACCGAACACTCGCCTCCTCAGGAGGGTCTGGTTCCCAGCAGCACCCTGTCCGTGTCTCACTCCCGCAGTAGTGTTGACATGGACTGCTTTTTACCACCTGGGAAAGGTGAGTCAAGCCCACACAAATATTCACCGCCCACAAATCATGTGTCACTTTGTAATGGTTACATTGAACCTCCATCCAAAGCTGCCAATAGCAGTTCAATAGCAAATGCCACTTGGGGATGTAATATGGAACTGTAATGCAATCAGTTTATTAACAAGTCAATATTTTGATATATTTGTTGAGCAAGTCTTTGTCATTTGGAACAAGATAATTTTTGGTGTATTTCTCCGTATTGGCAGATGCTTTTATCCAAAATGTCTTACATTACATTCAAGGTGTACATAGGTTCATACATTGCCTGGGAATCGAACCCATGACTTTTGCGTTGTTAGCGCCATGCTCTGCTGTTTGAGCTAACACTTTTATAAAATTTCATGCTTTTAAGATCATCCTGAGAATTCAGTCAGTTGCAAAACAATTATTTTAATATAATTAAATGTTTTCTATTTGTTTCTTGCTTGCAAAAATAATTTTGTCAGAAATAATAGGTCATCAAAAAATAAAAAATTATGTCCTCTAAATTCTGGTAATTGCTATTATTAATATAATTAATAATAATTCAAATGAATTAGATTAATTATTATTAATTTATTAAAACAATCTATCATAATAAAAAATGCAATACAAAGACTAAAATCAGATTTTTTTTTCCTGAATAAGTAAAAAAAAAAAAAAATTAATTAATATCTTAAAGTATTTGAAATAAATTGTGGTTACTTTACCTATATTGACACTCCCAGTTTCTGTTAATAATATATTGCAGTTAATAAATATATCAAAAGTTTGGGATCAGCAAGATTTTTTTTTTAAATATCATTTGCTCATCAAGGCTGCATTTATTTGATCAAAACTAGAGAAAAAACAGTAATATTGTGAAATATTATTACAATTTAAAATAACTTAATTTTATTATACTTTAAAATATAATTTATTCCTGTGATGCAAAGCTGAATTTTCATCAGCCATAACTTTAGTCTTCGGTGTCACAGGATCCTTTAGAAATCATTCTGATTTATTATCAATATGTTGATTTATTATCAATGTTGGAAATGTCTTGGTCACGTACGTAACCCTCGTTCCCCGATGGAGGGAACGGAGGCGTTCTGTCATGACGACATTAGGGGATTTACTTGGGAGCCCCAATCCTCTCTGACTTTAAGAGAAAATGCCAGTGAAATTTGGCTAGTGGATTTTGCATGCCTGAGCCACTCCCCGTGCATATGGGTATAAATAGGTGCATCCACTCATCAGGTTTTATGCTGAGGAGCCAAGGCCTTGTCCCTGGCAACCAGCAATGGTTCGAGGTTGTGGCATGGGGACATAACCTCTCCGTTCCCTCCATCAGGAAACGAGGGTTACATACATAACCAAGAGGTTCCCTATCTGTCGGTCACTACGAGTTATGTCGTGACGACATTAGGGGTCCATGGAAAGCGCCACAATGATGAATCTTGAACTGTGTTCATTCATGGATGCACCTGTCGCCTATTTATACCCGTATGTACGTGGAGTGGCTCAGGCATGCAAAATCCTCTAGCCAAATTTCATTGGCGTTTTCTCTTAAAGTCAGAGAGGATTGGGGCTCCCAAGTAAATCCCCTAATGTCATTACGACATAACTCGTAGTGACCGACAGATAGGGAACAGTTGTGCTGCTTAATACTTTTTATTCGTGAACAAATCCTGAAAAAAATATGAATAAAAAGAACAGCATATTCAAAATATAAATATTTTCTAACAATATGTCTTTACTATCACTTTTTATCAATTTAACACATCCTTGCTGAATAAAAGTATTCATTTCTTTAAATTCTTAAAAATAAAAAAAATACTGATCCCAAACTTTTGAACGGCAGTGTATATAATTTTGTTAATATTGTATCATGGGGGGGCTTTGAAATATTTAGTCAAAAAGATTGAGGACCACTGATTTGTAGTATCTTTGACAGCCCCAGTTAATATCTACTTGTATTACATGCTAAAGAGCAGCTTTCACATTCTTTTCAATAGCTCCTTTTGTGTTCTGTGAGGGAAAAAGCCATACTGGTTTCAAAAAAAGTATTGTACACGTGTCCACGGCTCTCTGAACAGCATGTGTTCTGGATTTTTCCAGGGGAGCCAGTTCTCAGTGGGAAAGGTACAAATAGGGTTTGATCATTAATTAGCAGGGGGCTAGTGTTGCTACAAAAATCTTGCACCCTGCTTTGATCCAACTCGGGGGATTGATGTATGTGTTTGGTGGAGCTTCAATCTTGGGACACTCACAGGCTCACGAGATGCTTCACACAATAGAGCCACGCCGAATCCATGAGGAAGCATTTTGTTTTCAATTCACCTTTCTGTAAGAGGGTCTTTTATTGTGGTAGTAACTTTTAGAGGTCAAATTAAGGACCACGAGGGTGTAGCTTTGGTTTTTGGGTCAGGGTGGTGTTAATGTGTGCCTTTAGGGCCCCATACAGTCTGAAGCGGAACACTCTGTATTGTAGTCCCTTTACTTCCTGTTGTCTCCCTGCACTGCACTTCCTGTGTTTAGAAGAACACATTTCTAAACATCCCTACTAGAACCCCCCCCGATCTCATGTCTGTTCATGACTGGATCTAAGAATAGACAGAGGAAATGGGGAGCTTGCCTTTTCCACGTACGTTTCTTTCAAGAAAAATAAATAAATAGAAAATGACAGGTCAAGATGACTGCTGAACTATGACGAGCTGTACTGTCACATTCATAGAGATTACGTTGTATTTAACCTAGAATATTTCTGGAATGATCTCACTTAAAGAGTTGCCATCTGTTCCCCCTCTTTTTCTGTATTGAATTATCATGTGAATTTTTTATGCCTGTTCAAGCTTCTGCCTTTATATTTTGAGGAGGTGATAGTGGTGTGTGTATGTGTGTGCTGCTCTGTATCTGATTACAACAGACTAATAATAAACAGATAGTGATGCAGAGTAACTTGGAAAATCTTTAGTCAGGCATGACGGATTCTGTCCAATGAGACTGTTCACTGCACGCTACACTACACCTCATTCTGTCGACTGGGCTTTTTTCAGTACTGTTATTGGAACTTCATGTTGATGTTGTTGGAACTTTGATTCCAAAATATTACCCTTCCAGTTGTCTTATAGTTAACCTGTACATTGTAGAAATAGTATTCCAAGTAGAGCCAGCCCAGAACCAGAAACAAAATGATGCACACTATGGGCTATCCTCCATGAGATACTAAAATCTGTAAAATATGCCACACCTTTTCTCATTGGAGCTGTAACTGAAGTTGTGCCACAATGTTTCACATTTTCACACATAGGTTACCCTAGCAAACTTCAAAGGGGCCCACAACTTAATAATTTAAAATAAGACAACATAAGCATTCAAATATGCATTCAAATATGCCAAAAAAAAAACACTGCCTTGAATGCATTTTTAAAAGTGCGATTTCTAGACCTGGAAAAGTTGCAATTAATGCAATCTTTAAAATCCCTTTGTATCTATTTTTATAATTAATATACATTTTCTAGTTAGGCCAGTATCCAATATACCAAAACATTTTATAAATTCTATTTTTAGAATACAATATATAATAAATATCCTTAATCTTCATTTGATAAATCATGAATGACTGGAAAAGTCATGTAACTGTATTAGTTAAAGAGTGAGAACTATGATAAACATTCAGTTCGTAAAACTTGTGGAATCCCTAAAATAATATCGCAACAATGGGAGGTCTTGGAGTAAAAAAAAAATTAAGAACCAATAACCTAGAAATATTGGTTATGCATACTAATATGGCATGTTGACGCATTGATCGGCAACCATAAACAAATACGTTTTTCCTCATCTGGGACATGTTCCACTATGTATTTTCACATTACTCCAGGTGTTTTTGCTTCTCTCACATGTGAATAACAAAGCTGTCCTGCCTATTGAATAGAGCCAGAATATATCTATTACAATATAAACATTAAACATTATTGTAGGAAATGTCAGGTTGACCCATAGTTATGTGTGCATATCTTAAATGTGTCTGTTATTTGATGCAGAAGATATTTAAGTATAATTTGACTATTTAGTCGTATGTGTGTGAACCTGGTATCCCCTACATTATGGATACATTAAGGATAGTAATACTAGTAGTTTTTGACCTTGTGGGGATATTTTTGGTTCTCATGAGGAAACAAGCTTATAAATCACAGAATGATCTCTTTTTTTTTTTTTGCAGAAAGTATTGTATGAGGGGTAGGTTTAGGAGATAGAAAATACAGTTTGTACAGTATAAAAACCATTACATTTATGGAATGTCCCCATAAAACTTGGAAGCCCAATGTGTGTGTGTGTGTGTGTGTGTGTGTGTGTGTGTGTGATCTCGTGTATGCTCATGTGTGTGAACCTGGTATCCCCTACATTATGGATACATTAAGGATAGTAATACTAGTAGTTTTTGACCTTGTGGGGATATTTTTGGTTCTCATGAGGAAACAAGCTTATAAATCACAGAATGATCTCTTTTTTTTTTTTTGCAGAAAGTATTGTATGAGGGGGAGGTTTAGGAGATAGAAAATACAGTTTGTACAGTATAAAAACCATTACATTTATGGAATGTCCCCATAAAACTTGGAAGCCCAATGTGTGTGTGTGTGTGTGTGTGTGTGTGTGTGTGTGTGATCTTGAATCCTCTGAAGTGGGGATAAAGGTCTTGTAATATACTGTAGACACACCCTCTCAAAAATGGGCCACTGCAGCATGCAGACATAGCTGATTTCAGGATTCACACACACACGCACACACACATGAAATACACTCACAATGGTACTTTGTCTTTCCCTGTAACAACATCAAAACTGTTGACTCCTGTTTCTCCAGTCTTGTGTGAAGAGAGATTTTTATTTTTGCATATTGGTTTAGCAGACCTCAATGTGAATTCAGTGGAACCTTCCTGTATCCTTTTTGTATCCCTTTTGAATGTGTGTGTGTGTGTGTCTCTGTGGCCCCTGGCCCCGCCCCCT